ACTCACCTCAGATTCATCCCCTTTCTCTCTATATGCTGTGGCAATACTGGTCTGAACAGCCTTAATCCACGCCTGGCGCAGCTTTTCCGAGTCAGCCTGCAGCATGCAGCTTCTGTGACAAACCACATGTGTGCTCAGGGTCAGAGAGAGGGACCAAGCAGCTAACATCCAACAGCACATTGCTCAAGAAAAACAATCTTGAAGAAGTTTCTTGGTATCCCCACAAGTACATTTTTCATAGGCATCACCTAATAAACCCATTATCTTGGGATAACAAAGTAGCTGAGCCTTAGTGAACTGCAAACTCCTTATTCCAAAATTATTTGTAGGTAATGCTAAACATACAGATATGACTCTTCAAATCACCCAGAGAATAGCTTAGTTTCCTATTCCTTTTCTTACTCCAAATTTTACACCTTTATATCCCCCATACATTTTATCCCCATGACTAATTTCATGACACAGGGGTATCAGTCCTTGAAAACAGTTGCATTCACTGACATCAAGAGAATTATTTTAAAGCTCTCTGACAAGTGATTAAGTACTTTTCACACCAACAGTCAAAGGAAACAGGTCATGAAGTATAAAACTGCTCTAACATGAATGGGTGGAAAAAGCACAGACAAGCAAGAGCAAAATGCTTGTTAGTGACCCACAAGTGAGGATGCAAACATCAGGACAGACAGCAATCTGCTGAGAAGCGTATGGAGGAGTGGGGAGTGTAGATAACATCCAAACCTAAAGCAGGTTGACTTCATATCCAAAACTTAAATATGGTCACATCTCAAAACCACTAACGAGGAGTCCATGCCCTGCCTGTGGCAGGATGCCAAACCTCCCCAAGTACAGCCAGTGCACTGCACTGCTGCAGCTGAAAAACAACTTGAGTTGGTCACTTCATTTAGTGAATTCTGAAATGTAACTTAACACTACCAAGACAACAACTTGGTAATTATGCTTCTCTCTCATTACACCAATCAGAAGTGTGCAGACACTGAGATCTATTTTCTACATTACTAAGCAGCTTGACAGTATTGACTGCTACCAAGCCACAACAGCTCTGCACCACAAGCCACTGATGCAAAAAGCACAAGAATGCATGTTTATTTTAATGCCTAAAGTAAACTAAATACCAGGAACACTTCTCACAGTATCACTTACACTTAGCCAAAATGTCAGAGAACAGAATTGTTCAGATGCTTTTCCTGTTTTGATCTATCCCAAGAGAAATGTTAATCTTACATTTTAAGACAACTGAATGTAATCATTTTTTAATTTTCAAATAAACATACTCCATCATTTCTCCTTACTTTGTTGGAGAAACCACCTCAAAACAGAAACGTCTTTCTATGTCTTCGCAGTGTTTAACTGTGCAGAGTCGCAAATCTTCAACAACTACTGTGGGATTATCCTAAGAGACAAAAATGAACAAAAGGTCACTGAGAAGAGATAATATAGTTGTTAATGATACAAAATTACTCATCATTCAGGTTTATTTGGCTGTTTACACAAATTTTCTTCCACAAATAAAATCAGAAATAAGTGGACTTGGAGACCCTTGGAAGGTTATTCTTCAGATTTTAATGTTTAGCTATATTTAATGAAAGTTTAATAAAAAATGTGGAGAACTTTTAACCTGCAAATCCAATCTACTAAATAATCAGGATCGTAAATTTGAACAGCAGCATTCAAAGAGTATAGAGGTACTTGCTATGGGATGCAATTAACTCACAATTAAATCAGAAAAAATATGCCTAAGTAAGAGCCAAATAAAAAACCCAGAAGCTAAGGTTTTGAAAATTTGATTCATAAGAATTCCATTCTAAGCTATCTGCATTTTAAAGGTGCAGTTTAAAACAATGTAATGGGAATTCACAAAGACAAATGTGCTCAGATGAACTCAGCTGCATGTTTCCTTAAAGAAATGAAGCCCCTTGGTTTGACTGCATCAGGTAACAAGGAACAGCCTCTGACCCTGGTCTGTTCCAAGTGAAGAGGAACCAATTATCAGAAGCTCTTTGCTCATTTTTTCCCCCACTGTTTCCATACAGCTCTCTATTTTTTCCTAACCTGGAGAACAGTTACAGCTACGTGGTGCAAAAGCAGATTCTAGAACAGCAAACAAAGAGCAGAGCAGGGGCCCAAATGCTGATGGAAAAGGCTTCTACAGCTTGGGCCACAGCTGCACTGTAATATACAGCTGCACCTTCCCACCAGCAGAAAGGCAGATA